AATCAATATAAGTTAGTTACTTTTAATATGGTTTAAGGTAACTCGAGTCGATGGGAGTGAGTTAAGAAGGTATTTAAGTATAAATTCAATGGTTTCTGAACTTTTAAGTATATATAGGACCCCAAAGGTGAGTTCTACAAAGGGTGGATCTTCACTTGGCAAATAGAGTTGTTATTCATGTGACGCATTCAAGAGTGATTTCAAGGAGATATGCTACCAATACGGTGTAGCTATGTATTTGTCTCGTTATAGTCTATATTTACATTTGATATCACATTTCGTACAACTAGTTCTCAAAACTAAGTACGTCTATGTAGTAGGTCTGGCCACTTAGCTTTAAGTTGCATTATTCGGCATTAGCTTAATTGATTGCGCTATATTTTGTTGTTTAGCCAATTTGAATATGTGTCATGTTTAGGGACTTAGGCCCTGTTCACTTCACCTTAAAAAAATAATATTAAGTAAAAATAATTTCTGTTTAGTAAAATTAATTTCAGTTCAGTAAAAATAATTTCGGTTCAATAAAAATAAGTTCAGTTCAGTAAAATTTAGTTTTACTAAAGAAGAATTGTGATAGAAAATCAGTAAAAATAATTTCAGTTTAGCAAAAATAAGGTGAAGTGAATGGGCCCTTAGGTAGTGGATGTCTTGTGCCTTCAATTGGAGTCATTTTGGTGTGTTTACAAGATGTAATACCCCGTATTTTTATACATATTTTATTTTAAATAAGTATTTTGTGAGGTATTTAAATAACTTGAAATGAATTATTTATGGCATTTTAATTATTTATTTTAAATAAGTTTGGAAATATTTTATAAAAGAAAAGTTTTAATTAATTAATTAATTAAAATATTAAGTTGGGATTTATTTTAGGAAAGTTTTATTTTAGTTAAATATTATTAGGAAAGGGATTGGTAAAGATTAAAAAAGAAAATTTTAGGTATGAAGGGTTTCTAGAGAAAGGAGTATAAATATCAAACACTTGGGCAAATTAAACTTTACCCAGAGTGGAGAATATCCAAGGTAAACTTTTTCTCCCTTCTCCTTTATTTCCTTTTCTTTTTCTTTCTTTTCCTCTTCCCCTTTTTGCACACACCATCGCCGGCCACCACCACCAACAACCGGCAGTAGCGGCGGTGCCACCAGCAGCACGGCGGCAGCCGGCTGTGGTGCCGTGGCTGCTGTCCGGCCACCATTCAAAAAAAAATTATTCTTTTTTTATTTCTTTTGTTTAATCCTAAATCTAATTATTGATTATGGGTTTTGTGATGATGTTATGATGATTGATTTTAAGTATGATGCAAATTCATTTTCAGAATTTAATTTTACTTAAAAAGCCCTAAATTTGAAGCCCTAGATTTATAAATAATTGATTATTGAAGGAATATGATTTAGGGTGGTTTAAACCTTTAATTTGAGGGTTTAAAAGCATAATTTCAGCAAGTTTTCTGCTATGTTTGGATAACAAATTAGAGGGCAATGGAAGGGAGGGAAATAGGAGGAAGGGGAAGGAAGGGAAAGTGGAGGAAATGATGAGCTCCATTTTCCCTCCAAATCTCTCCAATTTTGAAGGAATGGTATTTATTAAAGGAGGAGGGAAAATGGATCCCTCCCTCCCCCTCCCCTTCCCTCCCCCAACATATTATCCAAACAAGGAAGTTTGTCTCCCTCCCTTTCCCTTCCCTTCCTTTCCTTCCATTTTTTGTTATCCAAACATAGCCTTCATGAATTAATATTGCTGGAAATTTTGTTAGTAAGCTAAAAATTAAGTTTCTTGAAGGAATTTTGACTACCCATTAATTGCGATTAAAGTAAGAGGTTTTAAATGAATTTTCAGCTTGTTTTAATTAAATTAAGAGTGGTTTAGTAAGAGTATATATTGCTGGAAATTTATGTGGAGTAGATTTTAATGTCATATTATGATTTTGGATTGTAAGAGACTTCGATGTGAGTTAATTCTATTAGTCGTGGTGATTTTAAGATCGTATTCAAGGTACGTTCACGTACTTGGTATTTATTTGGTGTTTTAGGAACACGCTAGGCTTTGAATAATTGATTCCAAACGGTATTGTGATAGTTTTGGTTGGAATTTATTATTTGGTTGATGTTGGTGATTGAGTTATGAGGCATGGATTATTTGTGATTGATTATATTAAATGGAAATAATTATTTTGGCATGTTATATATGAACTACACTTTTATAATTGGCATGATAGAGAGCATATTTAATTAAAGTAAATGTTTAATTTGGTTTGGAATATTAAAAAGGAATTTTATTATGGTTCATATAATTTTTACTGATGCTATAGGCATGAGAAAAGAGTTATGTAAGTGCCTATGTCCACGATGAATAAATTATATGTTGGTGTCTTAGTGCACTTAAGGTGTTTCTAACACCGAGAGATAGGAGTTTTGGCGCATTACGCGTTTAAGGTGTCTTTGACACCGAGGTAGATTTAAAAAGGGTTCAACATTATTTTTATGTGGTCACTAATTATTCAAGAATTAAATTGAAATGTTTAATTGTCGGATAATTATAATGTTTAATTGTGTTATGGTTTGAGAGTCATCACCAAGTTTAATAATATGTAAATAACGTAAAGTGAAAGAGATTACGCACCAAAAATTTGGAACGTTTATACCTTGAGTATGAATGTATGGGGGGGAGTTATGGTATTTTATATTTAACCATAACTTCTACTAGGAATACAGGACGATGTTTTTTCCTTTTATTAATACGCGCAGAAATTCCGTCACTCACGAGTGGTTCTTTTATACTGGCACGGTTAGCTCCCGTATTAGTACCCCTTTATTGGGGCAGGTTAGGGGAGAAACCTGTTCGATGCGTAATCAATGCTAAATGAATCATTTAATTGCTTAATTGAGAAGTCATATTGTATGTTGTATGCTTGTAAATAGGTGCAACGAGGTAAGTTGTGTGTTGATAAATGAAAGCATTCATGTTAGTGTGTTTAATTACGCTTATGTACTCAACTTTGCTGATTGTGTGTGTCTTTACCTTGGCCCTATGATGACCCATTTTTAATAGAGAGTAGCTAGTGGAAACAAGTAGATAGAAACTTTTCAGATGATGAAGCATATTCATGATGGGCATGAGTGAAGATCGAATCATGCTAGTGTGGTACCTGGTTTTAAGTGGACAAAGATTAGTCTATAAAGGTTCCACTTAAGTGTCTGATAAGACTTATAATTAAAAACTTAGAGTCGCCACCTTATTGTTATCCGAATAAGGACGGATTTTAAAACAGTCAGTTTTAAAAAATAAAACTAAATAAAAAATCAACTACTAACTCCATAATAAAAAAAAGGCATAGGGTTCGGGGTTTAGGTTAAGAGAATCGAACGTCTGGAACTCGTCTTCCTTTCCGTTCTAAGGAACGAGCTCTTACTATTGCGTTGTTAAAAATCAAGTTTTAAGACATATAAACCACATAAAAAAAGTTATATAAGGTAGGTTTGAGCACCAAAGTTGCACTACGTACCGATCATAGTGAGATTTTGAATTCACTCACGGATCAAAACCTTCGTAGTTCAGATAGATTCCATGTTTTAAATAACCAATTCCATTGGGTTTTTAATTTGGGTAGTTGACATAAACGTCATTTTTGTAAGTGGGATTTTGGTGATCTTTGACGGATTCACTCATAAAATTAAAATGAACCACCTTGGTTGAGGAAAATCACCCGATTAGTGATTACCAAAAATGTCTTTTGGACAAGACAATTCAACAAATGCGTCCTGATTGACGACTTTTAAGTGGGTCAAGGTATTTTTTGGAGTGAAACTATAAGGGTTCACTATATAATCTCACTTTGGGTTTAAAATCACTCAAGGGTAATTTTTGTAAGGTTTTAAGGGTTATGTGTTTAGGCTTAATGGAATTGACCAAATAAAACACGACACTTGTCAAGGCCTTACTTCCAAATAATTAAAAGGGAACAATAAACTATTTAATCATATTCGATTGTCAATTAATCCATCGGATAATTATAATGGGATATAAGCTTATTTTTATGGAGATGGATAATTGTTACAATCTTATACAACTAAATAATCAATCTTAACCTCATATTTGGAAATGAGGCCATAACCTTATATTAACTATCATTAATTATTAGACATAAAAAAAAGTTGTGATTCATTCTTGTGTCACAAAAGGGTTTGAAATAAAAAGGTTCACAAAATTATAAAAGAAATTAATGCTTGTTAAAACTTTTATTTATGAAGTCATCTTAAAATAAAATTAAAGTCCTTAAGACATCATTTATTTTGAAAGTCATCTTAAAATAAGATTAAAGATTTTTAAAACAACGACATTTAGAATTAAAGAATCTTATTTTTGAAGCCATCTTTAAAATAAGATTAAAGTTTCTTAAAATAACACTTAGAATTAAAGCTTGTTAAAACTCTTATTTTTAAAATCATCTCTAGAATAAAATTAAGACATCTTAATTAAAACTCCATAAGTTAAGAAGTATATAATATAGGTTTCATACCACCATTAGTTCCTTAATAAATAAATAATTAATAAAATTTTAAAAAAGCAATTAAGAGAAAAACGTGCCTATTTCATCTCTTTGATAGCTTGAACTAAAAAAATCATTAGAAATCATAGAAAAATCGAAAAAATATTGTGAGATACAGTTGGAAAGCTATTGAAAAGTTCTATCACTTGAACTAAAGAAATGGAACTGATTCTGGTCGTAAAGGTTGTTTCACAGGCCATCTTTGGGTCATGGTAAGTAATTCTTTACTCTTGAACAACCTTTGCTTAAACTCTTAATTCCTTACGCCTTTAAGCTCACTTTAAGAAATAAAATCATTCTTTAAAATATACATTAGGCGGACACATGAATGTATTATCCTTTCATATTTAAAGTGCATTAGAAAGATATGCAATGCAAAATGCAATTAAGCCCCCTCTTTGTAACCTATCACCTCACCAATAGGCTTGGCTTTCTAATTTAGGGTAATGAAAGATTTAGGGCTAATTTAGCACCTAATATCGTCATTACCCCTATTGGTAACATCACGTGAAAACAAACACATTGGTTAGCATAATAATAAGGGGTCGTTTGGTTGGGGGGTATCATCAAAGGGAAAGGGAATGGACAGGCCCCATTCCCTTTGTTATTGTTTGTTTGTTATCATGTATCATTCCCTTTACCCTTTTTTATTTTGTGTTTACCCAAATATCTTTCACACTCATTCCCCACCCCCCAAGACTTTTGCATTCCCATTCCCCTCTTCATTACCCATCACACTCTCTCTCCTCTCTTATCCTAAAATTCCCAGCGGCCGTCACCTTTCACTGGAGCTCCGGTCACCACGACGACCACTTGAGATTGTTCACTGGTGACCACATCTGAGCAATTCCGACAAGGTATGATCTCCGGTGACCGTAATATTCATGTTTTCGTTCTAGATCTACCTTAATCATGTCTTCTTTTTTTTATTCATGAATTGTTGGGTAATGTATACTTTATTACTAATAATTCAGAGATGCTTCACGTTATCAACAACTTTCATAGTGATTGTTGGGGATTTTGTTGTTGGTGCTGCGTTTTGAAGGGTTTACTGACTTTTTTATTTTTATTTTTTTATTTTTCTTTTTTTTTTTGGAAATTACAAAACAGTGTATATTTGTTGAATTTTTTATTTGTTTTTTCTCCTTGAATGATTGGTTGTAATTTAATGTTGTTTGTTGGATGATAATTTTGGTGCCTGTGACTTGCCAAAGGTGGAGGCTTCCATAGTGAATGAGCCTGTAGCAGCTTAATTAGTACAATCTCCACAAATGTGTTGTTGCTTGCAAGCCTAATTAGTTGTTATGTTCTCGTAATTGTTGTTTTTCCAAAGCTGTTTATAAATAAGTTTGTTATGGGGATATAAATGGTTTCGTAAATAAACCTTCATTCTCCTATTCTCCTTGTATATCACGATGAAGCCTTTGTAATTCCCAATAATATCTAGAATTTGTTGTATATGTATATATTTGTTTAGCTTGAGAATTGAATATATCTTGAGTATAAATGATATGTAAACTAGTCAATGATATGTTGTTGTTGATGTTCTTTTCTACAGAAAATGGCTCGTATTGGTACTTCTTTGAAAAGGAAGAGAAATCGGGACTTTATTCGGTTCATAATTACTATGATTAATTGTGTTGTATTGCTACATTTGATGTGTTACTCAATGAGAAAAACTATATACAATTCTCATTATCTTAAGCTAGATAAAAAAACTAGAAGGAGAAGGAGATTGCACAACTTGAATAGAATGATTAGAGAAAGTGACACTTTGTGTAGGAACTATCTTCGTATAAATCGATACACATTTGGTGTACTTTTAGAAATGGTTAGAGATATTGGTGGATTAAATGAAACAAGAAACACATGTTTGGAAGAGATGGTTGCGGGCTTCTTATACACATTAGCTCACCATAAGAAAAATAGAATGATTGGTGCACATTTTTATAGAAGTGGTGAAACTATTAGTATACAATTTCATGCTTGTTTGTTAGCAATCTTAAAGTTACATACTATTCTTCTTAAGAAACCAACTCCAATACAAGAGGATTGCGACGATGAAAGGTGGAAATATTTCAAGGTAAATTAAAAAACCAACACTTTAATTTGAGATAAAATAGAGAGACTATTACATAATTTAAAGTGATATTGTTTGTTTTGTAGAACTCATTAGGTGCCCTTGATGGTACAATGATTCTAGTTAATGTTCCTTGTGAAGATCGATCCAAATAACGCACTAGAAAAGGTACCCTTGCTATGAATGTACTAGGAGTATGCTCATACGAAATGGAATTTATATATGTCTTACCTGGTTAGGAGGGATCGTCACATGATGGTCGGATTCTTTGAGATGCTATTTCTAGGCCTAATGGGTTGAAAGTTCCAAAAGGTAATTTGATTGACATAGTAGACTTTATTTGAAATTGACTTAGTAAGAGAGTATTTTTTTTAAAAAAAAAACTTTTCAAGGTTGTTATTATCTATGTGACGGAGGATATACTAATGAAGAAGGATTCCTTTCACCATATAGAGGGCATCTTTATCATCTTAGAGAATGGAATAATGGCCCCCGTCAACCTCAAACCATGGAAGAATATTTCAACTTAAGGCATGCAAAAGCTAGAAATGTGATTAAGAGATGCTTTGGGTTACTCAAGGGAAGATGGGGAATTCTTAAAAGTCCTTCTTGGTTTAGTTTACAAACACATGGTCGAATTGTGCTTGCTTGTGCCTTATTACATAACTTAGTAAAAATATACATGCTTGAAGAATTTAATGATGATGACTTGTTTGAGGAAAGTGATAGTGATGATGATGGTGATGATGGTGATGCTAGTGATGAAGATGATGTGGAGTACATAACCTCCATTGCTGTAACCGATCCATGGACTAATTTTGGAAATACAATGGCCCAAAATATGTTCAATGATTGGAGGGCTAGACAACGCAGACTTACTTTGTGATATTATTCTTGTTTATTAAACAACATTGTATTTTTTATTTGAACTTGAGACTTGTATCTTTATTTCAATTTCGTGTTTTTTTTTATTGTTGTATTAAGTCATGAATGTTGTGTTGGACTTATAATAATTTCCTTTATGTACTTCAATTGAATATTTTGTTTGTTAATTTCATTTTTATATATGTGCAATGTTATTTTGACATGATAATATGGTTCAAATGTTTTAGTAGGATGGATGAAAGTAGTGCAAGTGGAGGTGGAAAGGGAAAAAACAAACGATTTTGGACCGCTCTAGAAGATAAAGTTCTTGTAGAAGCATTGTCAGAGCTAGTTGTTGATCCTCATTGGAAGTGTGAAAATGGGTTTAGAAGTGGCTACATGGTTCGCTTAGAGGAGATCATAGGTAAGGCTCTTCTTGGTTGTGGGTTAAAGGCTATGCCATACATCGATTCTCGACTGAAGACACTTGGAGCAAAGTTTAGGGCTATTTCTACTATGTTAAATACAAGTGGATTCGTTTGGGATGATTCCAAAAAAATGGTTTCTGTGGACCGGGCTGTTTATGATGAGTTTTGCAAAGTATGATAACTTTTTTAAGGTCATTTGCTATTTTAAATACTTGCTATTTTTATATATATTCCTATGGTTGTGGATGCTTAGCATTTTTTCTATTTATTGATAAAGAATTAAAGGACTGTGTGTCTTGGAGTGCATAAGTTATTTAGTAAAAATCAGATTCTGCCATACAAGAGATGATGCTGCCTTTACTATCTTTTTAGTGAATATACAACTAAATTAGTTCAGATTTTGCTGTTATTTTTAGTGTATATGAACAGGAAGTTTGTGGGCTGAGAGGTAATATTTAAGCTCTGGCACTATTAAATCTTTCAACTGCCACACATAATATAGAAGTAAAAATCAGATTGCATCGGTTTATAAGTAAAAATCAGATTGCATCAGTTTATAAGTAAAAATCAGATTTCATGAGTTTCTATATTTGAGCATTTTGGGAATTTTTGTGTTTTTCCAGAACCATCCGAGCTGCAAAAACTTGTATGGAGTTTCATTTCCCCACTTCCATGAACTCATGAATGTTTATGGCAAGGATTATGCAACTGGAAAACCAGCTGAAGATTTTGTTGAAGCAATCAACAATTTGCAAACTGTTGCCCCCCACAGGTGACACTCGATTCAAGTGATGATGAGGGAGTTGCTGCTAGTGGTAATGGCACTCAAATCGTTACTTCTCCTCCTTCAAAAAAAAAAATGAAGACTGAAAAAAGCTCCAAAAGAAATAAGAAAGGAAAAGGTGGTGGTGGAAGTAATGATTTGGCTAGCTTACAAGCATTCATGAAAGACATGAATGTTCATCTTTCCACTATGGCAAATGTGATGGCACGCACTGATGATCGTGAACAACGTGCAGATGAAAAGAGCAAAAATTAGTTGAAAAGAGTGAGCAAGTGCTAGAGGAACTAGTCTCTTTCAATTTAGAAGGTGTCACGGAAGCCCAAGTTTTTGAAGTGACTAACATTCTAACCGCACAACCAAACAAGCTCATGGTATTTTCAAAGTGTCCTGACGCTTTGAAAAGTGCTTATGTTAAGAGTCTTCTAGGAGGAAGTGGAAATGGTAATGCTTAAATCTAGTGTGGTGCTTTCATGTATGGTTTTGAATTAGGTGTTATTCACAAGCTACTACTTTTGGCATGAACTTTATCTAGATAGAACTATTAGCAAAGACTTGGGTTGAATGTTAATCCTATTAGAACACTTTTGGTATGAACTTTTATCCAGGAACAAGTACTTTGCATTGGTATTATTTTCACCAAGAGGTGATTATTTGGATTTGTAATTTATGGAACTAGAAAGATGTTATTTGGAGATATTTTATATGTTTTTTTTTTAATTTTTTTTACAGGAAAAGATGACGATACAGGTTGATGGTTTTTTTTTTTTTTTTTTAAAAAAAAAAAAAACAGGTTCAAGTTTCATGAAGAAACAGGTTTTATTTTTGAGCAAATTTTTTAAAGAATTTAAAAACTCAAAATTTGATTCCCTCGCTTGAACCAAACAGTCACAAAGGCAATTAATGAGCAGCTCATTCCGTTTCCTGGACACAACCAAACAACTAGAAAAAATCAAGGGAATCCATTCCTTTCTCCTTCATTCCCTTTCTTCATTCTATTCCGATTCCCCTCTGCGAACCAAACGGTCCCTTATAATAATTAAGGAAATTAAGAAAGGAATAAAGATAATACCTTGAGCTAGGTGTAGCAATTTTTGAATAACTCTTCTTACTTATCAAGGATGAAAAGATGATCACTCCTTAATTAAAGTGCAATAAAAGAGACTAAGTCATTTTTTTAGAGTTTTGAGATATTAAAAGAAATTAATGCAAAAAAAAAGCCGAAGAGCTTTTTTTAATTTTTGATTAGAGAAAATAAACTTGAAAAATAAAGCTAAATCTTGAGAAACAAACTTTTTTTGGGGGTTTTAATATAGACTAAGAATACTTAAGCAATTAAACTAATATTTTTTTAACAAGTATAATAAAGAAAAATAATGCTTGAACTTGAAATACTTTTGTATTTTTTTTATAGGAATTAAAGATAATAACAATACTTAAATAAAAATAACAACTTATATTGATTATAAGATTATTTTTATAAGCTAATAACTAAAGTAAAGATTAGAGGATAATTTTTTTTAGAGAGAATTTGTAGGAAATTTTGGTGTGTTTGAAATTTGAGAATTAGGGGGTATTTATAGGAAAATAAAGGGGTTAATTTGTAGATAAAAAAAGGTAAATAAATTAAAATTCAAGGATTATTTTGGTAAATATCAAGATTTTGGTAATAATGAGAATCTTGATATTAAATTCTTTCGTTTTATATGTAACAAACTTACTTAATCTGTTTTGCAACATTTAAACTGATAAAATAAAGAAAACCGTAATAAAATCAACTCTATTATTCACAAAATAAAAAAAAAATCTAAAATGCCATGGTATTACAAAAAAGAAAACATATGACCAAGTCATGTCACAACTCAAAAATAATACTCACATGGTATACGATAACAGAATGCCTAAATTTATTTAGTGACTATTATACTCACCAAGGTACTAAAACAACACTTATAAAATAAATATCAGCTCTGAATGTTACACAAAGACATTAGGTTACAATACTAGTAGGGTTGGACATAATATTTCAGAGTTTATATAAAAAAGTAACAAAAAATAACCCCTGCCCTTATTAGATAGTACATATAAATTTACCCAAGAACATCTAAGCATACAACAAAACCTTATAAATACGAGGATTTCAAATAATAACCCTTACTAAAAGTATAAAGTAATAAGGTAAATCATATATTAAATCATAAGATTGACATGGTCAAAGTGAAAATACACCATGTAAAATCATATAATATTAAGTCATACAACATAAATTTAAGGTAGTCAAGAGTAAAATATATTCCCTTAAACGAATGACATTTTAAAAAAAATAAACTCTTATCTTGCTTCACTCTACTAAAACACAAATTTATACTTATCATAGTTGTAAATATATATATATATATAAAACAACAGAAAAACAAATAAAACAGAAGACCAAATTCACGTCGGCAACGCAAATTAACATAACGGAAAATACTATTTGAATAGTGTCAAATAGTGTTTGAATAGTGAAATGCAAAATGTGATGCGTATGAAATTCATTTGTCCCAATCAGCGTCAGATAAATATAGATGCAATTGGTCCAAATTGAAATTTATTGGATAAAAGATTAACCGCGGGGGATAAAAAAAGATAAGATTTTTTCACTATTGACAATTGTTTATCAAAATTGACGAAAGAATACACAAACTAAACTGAGTAAACAAATCATTAAAACAAAAAAATAAGATAAAGAACAAAAAAAAAAAAGTAGTACCAAGCATCAGAATGGATTGAAAGTGCCAAATCAATGTCAGAGCACCATCATTAATCAGCGAAGATAGATGAAAAGAAAAAAAAAACATGATCCTAAAAATATGCTGAAATCATACTATTCATCTAAAGTTACGCGTAACGAACATACACAATTATACACAATTAATTATACATACATATGGAAAAATTGCCAAACTGAGCGTTTTTGGAAAACAATTTCCCAAACAAGACGCGTGGCAAAACTATTTACCAAACTAAGCTTTCAGGGTAAAACGCCAACCAAGGTGGCGTTTTACCCTGGGCAATTTTTTTTTTTAATTTTTAGTCAAAGGTAAAACGCCATCAAGGGTGGCGTTTTACTGCTGGGCAAATTTTTAAAAAAAAAACATTTACACAAAAACGCTAACGCCGTTGGCGTTTTACTTTTAACACAAAAGCGCTAACGTCGTTGGCGTTTTAGAGTCGGGTATTTCTAACAGCATATATCGCTGTTCTTCATTATTCAACCAAACCCCCAAATTGCAAACCCTAACCCCGCGCATACCAACTTCCAATTCTCCATATTTGAAGTAATTTCATCACATTCCGTAGCTTAGTTTTGGATCATAGTCAATAAAAATTAATCCTCCTTCTTTGTTCAACACTGTTACGCCCTACTTTCATCGAAATTGAGGTATGTCTTGAATTTAACTATTTTACTTGTGTATGATGTTTTTTGGGAATTTATGTTTGTAATTTACAATGTATGTACTATAGTGTTGTTCAAGTATGCGAAATATGTATAACTACATAATACATTGTTGTTTAATTATTGAAATTAAGTATAGTTATATGTATGTTGTATAATTTCGTATAATTTATATGAAGCATTTAGTTGTTGAACTACATATATGAAGCATTTAGGGAATTACGAACTACATTGTTGAGTTAAGTACATTTAAATGTATCTTACATTGTTAGATTAAGTAGGTAAGTTAGTATGTTGTTGAACACTGCGTTGTATGTACGCTTTGCTTGGGGATTTATTGGAATCATTGTGGTTTTAGTTGTGCATATGTGTCACCTAATATGTGGTCTGATGTTATGTAGAACATGGATTCACAATTGATTGTTTTGTTATGCCGTTGGGGGGGTGAAATTTTGTGTGTCGGACCCGATGTCGAGTATAGAGGAGGAAAAATGGAACCGCTAGAATTGAAACCTTGTATGACTTACAATGATTTGTTGAAGAAAGTTTATACTATAATTGGTTCAAAGCCAACAAGTGTTGAAGTGAACATCAAAATGAGGTTTGAAAGTGTTAGCGGGATTCAAATCTAACCTGTTTTGAATGACGACCATTTGGAGGTTTTGAGGGGTGTCGTTGCAATGAGGTCTCTTCCTACTGATTTGTATGTGGAAACGGTGCATGTATGTACTCAACAACCAACATTTCTTCCATCATACAATGCAAGCTCTCTACAAATGCCCGCATATAACATTCCATCATCTGAATATGGAATGGGTTCTTTCAGTAGAATGTTACACGACGATCAATTTGACATTCCATTCAGTTCACAATTTACGGCGTCGGGGTCAATGCAGCAACCTGGTCCATCTACCTCAAACAATGACATTTCATCATCGATGCAGTTGCAAAGTTACTCTCCCACGCAAGAACATATTGAAACACCACCGTTTCAGACTTTGGTGAATGTTGAACTTGTTGTAAACAACGAGTTGTCTGTTCTTGATATGTATAATGACACAAACGACGAGGGTGAAGACGGAGATGAAGAAGATGTTATAAACAACGATTTGTCTGTGGATGATGTTGTTGCTAGAACTCCATTACCTTGGTTCAGTCAAATAAACGAGAACTATGAGGTGGACATACATTGGGGTGATTCGGGGAGCCACTGTTCGTTTCGTGTCGGGGGAGAATTTGAGAAGGGCATGATTTTCGACAATAAGAAAGCGCTACAGGAAATGGTGAAATTGTATTCCATAGAGCGAAATCATTTCTACACCACAGTGACGTCGAATGAGAATGTCCTTCATTTAAAGTGCAAAAGGGGGCGTGGTTGGTCGCTACGTGGTACAAAAACAAATCTAACCACACGTGCCTTTAAGATCGTATCTTACAAGGGCCCACATCGCGACAATTGTGTTAATGAAGTTCCGCCCAGAGATCATCGACACTTGGACTCCTCTTTTATCTGCGACTATGTGAAGTCGTTTGTGCAGAAAGATCCATGTTTGAGAGTTGAGTTCATACAACATATCATCTCCAACAAATTTCAATTCGATGTTCCATATTGAAGAGCGTGGTATGCCAAACAGAAAGCGATTGCGGAAATTTTTGGGGATTGGGAGAGTTCATACAACAGACTTCTTTCATTCATGCAAGCCCTCCAGGAGTCGAACCCAGGCACTGTAGTTCTGTGGAAATACAAAGCTATTGCTGAAGGCGTTTATTACAGCAACATGGAGGTATTTGAACGACTGTTTTGGGCCTTTAAGCCTTCCGTCGATGGGTTCAAACACTGCATGCCTCTGTTATCTATTGATGGGACACACTTGTATGGGAAATATAAAGGCACACTTTTGGTTGCTACAAGTGTTGATGCTAATTTTCAGGTATTTCCTTTAGCATTTGCAATAGTTGAAGGGGAAAACACCTCGAGTTGGTCCTGGTTTCTAAGCTGCATTCGGGTTCATGTTACTGATCGAGAGGGCCTATGTTATATCTGACCGACATGCGGGGATTATTGCTGCGATGACTAACCCGGATGTTGGATTTCATGAGCCACGGGCCTTTCACAGGTTTTGCGTTCGACACATGGCCTCTAACTTGAGGACCCATGTGAAAAACAACGACATGAGAGACAGGTTCAAGGCTGCTGCATACCAACGCCAAGAAAAAAAATTGGTTG